CTCTTTAGGTGAACAAAAGAAGAATGGGATTGTACTCAAGGCGTCCACAAGTCAAGAACGTGATGTGGAGGACTCGAGTGACAAAGACGAGTTCGGGATCGTGCTCAAGAAATTCCATAAGTTCATGAGCCAAGAGTATGAACGGAAAGGAAAGAAGCAAGGAAGTCCACCCAAATGCTATGGGTGTGGACAAGTTGGGCATATAAAACCAAAATGTCCAAACGCCAAGAACAAGAATAAAATGTTCAAGAAGCACCGAGCCTACATCTCATGGGGAGGTGATTCCGGCGACGAGTCATCGGAAGGCGAAGAACATGAGAGCGCCAACCTTTGTCTCATGGCACACGAGGAACCACCGGAAGAGGTATGTACCAATTCTAAAGATTCCTATACTTTTGATAATGTACAAGAAGCCTTTAATGAACTTTTTGATGAATATGTCAACGCTTCTAAAATTAACAAGGATTTGAAGAAACAACTTACTTCCATGGAGAAGGAAGTCGATAAACTATCAAAAGATAATGAAAAACTTAAATAAGAAAATAAGTTTTTCGGAAAAAGAAGCGCCGACAAACCGGAAAGTTCAAAATGTAGTTCTTGTATATCACTTAAGGATCAAGTTGCAAAACTTGAAGGAACTTTGAAGAAGTTTGGTGTTTCTCATAAAAACCTTAATGATGTTCTTGATAATTTGCAACTTACTAAACATGGCTTAGGATTTGAAAATGAACCTAATAATAAGGAAAAAGTTGAGCAACCATCTAGGAAACCTAACACTCAACTTAGGACTAATGAAAATCAAGAAAATAGACAACCTAGAACAATTAGGAACACTAGACTACCTAGAAAGAACACTAGGATGAAAAATGATCAAGTTAGAAAACCTAGCAACTATTATCAACCTAGGGGAATGCATAATCCAAATGTTGTTTGTCATTATTGCAATAGGGTAGGTCATATAGCACCTGTGTGTTTTAGTAGGCATAGGCATTACACGTATAACAAAACATACACTTTGCATGGAACTAACCGAATGAAATCCTTTCAAAAAGGATATTCGAACTCTAACCAATCCCTGTAGGAATCAACGCAAAAGAAACCATATTACTTCTTCTATTATGATGAAAAGAAGAAGATTCACATACCACTTCCGGAACCCACACAAATCAAACCGAGGTATAGACATTCGGTTCGAGTAGACTGGAACCCGCCAATCGCAAAACGACGAGTTGGCCAAGGTAACACTAAAACACGCATGTTGGTACATGTGTGTGTGTGTGTGTTTGCGTACCATGTGTATGTGATTATGGGTGCGTGTGTTTATTAGTTTAAAAAGTCGTGTTACTAATCCTCAAGGACCCAAAAGATCAAACGGGTACCAAAATGTTTTCATTGTAGGTGTTAACGTCAGGGGGAACAAAAGAAATCGTGTTCAAGTTCCCAGGACTGAGTGTAAATCGATTTACAACCTTGAGATAATCGATTATCACTGTCTGCAGAAGTTTGGAGCAAATCCATCGCAAAACCTCAACAATCGATTTTCCAAGTCATGATAATCGATTATATGGAGCTGCAGAACTTTATTTGAAGTCAGGCGCAAAACAATCGATTGACTAAAACAAGGCAATCGACTATTGAAGTCTGCAGATCTTTCGGTGTAGAATCTGAAGACTCAGATAATCGATTTACACGTTGGGTAAATCGATTATCAACGACGATTTTTTAAAAATTCTGACCGTTGCAGAGACGTTGGAGAGCAATTAATGCCTGTTTGACCACCTCTACGAATCTCCAAAGCTTCTACTCTATAAATTGGTGATATCTACTTAATATTTACTCATTCCAATCATCTCTTCTCCATATATTCATCATAATTCATCATTCTTGCTATTATTCTTCATTTTTTTTCAAAATTTCTGCAATCTCTCTCTCCTCTCTTGTTGCATTGGCAGGCGGTCAAAGAAAGCGTTCCCGCACCGGCAAGAACGTTGGTTCCTCCTCGGCTCCTCCACCACCGGCGCACAAGTATCTCGACGGGTCGTTCCTTTGGTTCAATGACTGCGAAGAGGCGACGCGGTTCTCGGAAAAGTTTGAGCACCCGGAAATTCTTCCTCCCCGATTCTCCACCGCCCGCTTCATTCATGACTCCATTCCACGCGAGGAACGGGTTATCCTCGAACGTGGAAACTTCCTCGACCTCCTCTACATCAAGAACGTCAATTATCACCCCTTTCTTGTTAGAGCTTTCTTCTCGAACTTGAAAAAGGATGAGGACGGAGCGTTGATCTCTAACGTCAACGGGGTGGACATCTATTTGAATGAGGAAAACATTCAAATTCTCACAGGGCTTCGTCGGGACGGACAGGATCTCGAGCTCTACGTCAGAGAAGAAGGAGCGCGGTTCAATGAGACCGCCCTCTTGGAGGAAGTAGGCATCCAACACTTCGTCCCCACTCCCCAACAGCGGCGCCCTACGATTGCTTCCATGAGTCCCGTGTTTCGATTCATTTTTTATGTTTTGACACGGATTCTCAAGCCTAGGAAGTTCAATCACACCACTCTCTCCCAGGAGGACACAAAGACAATTCATGCGATGATTCACAACGCCAATCTCAATTGGTGTAAATTTGTGATGACTCACATGTTCACCGCCACCTCCGACAATCGATCGCTCCCCTACGCCCTCCTTGTCATGGCAATTCTTGAAGAGTATAACATCAAAACCGATGTTGGGCCAAAGATAAAGGGAACAAAGCATTGGGAGATTGATGAATCCTCTTTCCACTCGGGCACCGACGAGACTCCGTTTCGATAGCCTCGTAAACGCCGCCAACCGAGAGCCACTATCTCAACCGCCACCACTTCGACCAATCCTTCTCTCGCCGAGCAAATGGCAGCCTTGACCGCCACTCTCTCTTGGATTGACACCAACGTCTCCAAAACGGCACACAACGCCAATACCTTGAGCCGTGAACTTCACGGGTATTTTGACTTTTTCAATTACCCATACGCTCAAATGGTCCCTTACATTCCTCCACCGAATTTCGGAGGTGAACAAAGTGGGACTCAAAACGTTGGTAGAGATGAAGAGGTGGATGATGAGGAAGAGGAAGAAGAAGAGGAAGAAGAAGCCGATGATGATGATGGTGATGATGGCGATGGTGATGAAGAAGAAGAAGAAGAAGACATTGACGAAGAACAACTTCTCAATGATCTTTCCCCGGATTTCTAGAGCTCTAGCTCTACTTTCTTCTCTTCCTTATTTTATCATCTTTTAATACGCTTTTGTTATGTACTCCGTTATTTCCCTTAATTAATTAATAAAAATCTTTATGATTTTTGTTGTTAACAATCTTTTTGTTAATGTCAAAAGGGGGAAGATAAGGGCTATGGATATATTAAGGGGGAATTTTTTATTAAGGGGGAATTTTTTAAAAAAGATCAAAACCCTATGCATATCCCCGTCTTGTTTGCCATTATCAAAAAGGGGGAAATTGATGGAACACACTTTGTACGATAAACTAAAGTCGTGTTCATTTCTAACAGGTTTTGATAATTGCCAAACCGCCGTGGATATAAAGAGTTTCGTTGAATAACTCAAGGCGTGAAGAATGGCTTGGAACAAGACCTAAAAGACTCAAGGACAAGATCAAGAATTGAAGACTTAGTCGAGTCGGTCTTTTGTGATCAAAACTGACAATAAATTCAAGTCTCGGTTCTCAAAAGGTCAAAACAATTTTTACAAATCATAAAATTTTTTTTTGTGCATCAAAACAAACATTTTTGATGATTTCTTTTATTGTTAAAATCT